AAAAAAAAAAAAAAAAAAAAAAAAATTACAAAGGATATTAGTAAACAGCCAGAGGGAAGAGATGCTTAATATGAGGCCTGGAAGGGTCCTAAAGGCAGGAATTGGGGTGCACCCCCTCCCAGCACACAAATATGTTTGCCAGCCCAAGAAGCTCCCTAAACCAATTTAGGCCTTTTTACGGAGACATCACCACATAGGCATGGCCAATTGTTCATGTAATCTCCGATCCCTCTCTCCTCTCCAGAGGATGGCAGCTAAAATCTTGAATCTTGGCTTGGTCTTTCTGGTGACCAGCCCTCACCCAGAAGCCAAGAATGACCTCCTTAAAACAAAACATACTCCACTCAACCAGGCAATGGTTTTAGGAGCTCTGCACCAGGAACCAGAGGGCAAGGACTAAACAAAAGATTCTCCTATCACTTGGGAAATTGTAAGAATTTCAGGTGCCCTGTGCCAGGGACTGGGAGCAGAGGCCAATGTTTATATTATTATTAATTTATAGTCCACAATTCCACTCTGGCCTCTCTAATACTACCTGCAGGACCATGAGCATCCACTCATCTCTGAGATCCACCAGCACAAGAGAGGCTAGAACTTTCTCCGCCACAACCATCGATCACGCTACAGCCTGGCTGCCACCTGCCCCTCTGTCCTTGGGGCCAACTCCTAATCCCTGTGCCTGCTGCTGCAGTCCTCTGTTCTCTGCCCCCACCAACACCTGCCCCTGGGCATCTGGAAAGAGGGATGTGGCCCAGAGAATGGCGTCAACCTTTGGCAGGGAATCCTATAGAGAAGTCTCCTTTGGGATATATCTCCTGTCTGAGCTTCATGCCACCCACCCTGAGCCATGCCTGTGTGTCCCTCTGAGTCTTTGCAAAGCTCTGGTTGGGTCTAAAATGCCCCTGCCTGACTGTTGCTTTTCTATAACTTTAAAATAAACCTTTATAGGGGGGGATTGTCACTTTTCTATATGAGGTTCAGTGCAACTCAAGGTGTGAATAAGGTGTGACTCACACAGGATCTTCCCCACTAGGGGTGCCCAAACTGCCCCATCTCCACCCCCAACACACACATATTGGAAGAAGAGTTGCTTTGGGCCACACATTAAATAACCAAACACTAAGGAAAACTGATTATCAAAAAAAAAAAAAAAAAGAAAGTCTGTGCATACTCGGACACCACAGATAAACAAGAAAAGGCCTCAAAAAACCAGCATTCAAGCTGGTTCACAGGGCTGCAGGTTGGATTCAAAGAAGACAGCTTCCCAAGGGCTGCACTTTCCAAATGGTGACCTTGAAACAATTGCTCCCTGTCTTGGTACCCCTGGAAAAGGAGGGTCGCTGGGCTTGCTCTGCCCAGATTCTAGGGCTGTGTGAGCCCGGCTGATGGACAGAGAAGCCCTCTGCAAGCTCTTATGCTAAGGCAGGTCGGCCACACCTGGCCAAAGGCAGAGTCCTGGGGGCAGGCACCAGTGACAAGGTCAAGGTCTGAGTCCCCTAACTGCTGTCCTCATTCTGAGGCAATGTAAGTTTACATCACAACAGAGAATGTTCTAGATGAAAACCAAGCACACCATCTCGAGGGAATACCCTATTGGTTTGGGGGTCAGGAACCAGCCTGCATGCAGTTTCGGTAAAATGGGGTGAGTGCAATGGCTCATGCCTGGAATCCCAGCAGTTTGAGTGGCCAAGACAGGAGGATTGGTGGAACCCAAGAGTTCAGACTAGCATGGGTAACATGGTGAGACACCATCTCTACAAAAATTTTTAAAATTAGAGAGACATAGTGCTGTGGACCTGTAACCCCAGCTATTCAAGAGGCTAAGGTGGGAGGATGATTTGAACTCAGGAGTTTGAGGCTGCATTCCAGCCTGGGTGACAGGCGAAAACAAGGGCAGGCTCCCCAAGCTCTCTAAGCCTCAGTTCTGCACACAACCCCATAAAAGGGGGGTAATAATACTACCTGTTTTGGAAGGGTTTGTTGTGGACCAAATACACCACAATCCAAACACATGTAGCACACAGCACATACTGACTGCATGTCATTAACTAGTTTATGCCTCACGTTCCACTATTTGAATGGTAGTGCTGTAGGAGTTATTTCTATCCTCCTGCTCAAGGTCATTGTCGAGGTCTGGTTTTTCACAGAAGTCTGCCTCCTGAGGGTACATGTTATCACGTGGTAGATACAGTTAGTCATTGCTATAGTTAATGGCGTGCTGGGAGCTTGTCAAAAAGTCATGCAAAAAGCCTGGTGCCAGTGGCTCACACCTGTAACCCTAGCACTCTGGGAGCCCAAGATGGGTGGATCACTTGAGCTCAGGAGTTTGAGCTAGCCTAAGTAAAAGTGAGACCCCCAACTCTACTAAAAATAGAAAAGCTAGCCAGGCATTATTGTGGGCTCCTATAGTCCCAGCTACTTGGGAGGCTGAGGTAGGAGGATCTTTTAAGCCCAAGAGCTTGAGGTTGCTGTGAGCTATGAGCCATGGCACAGGGTGACAGAGTGAGATTCTGTCTCAAAATTTAAAAATAAATAAAACTTAAAAGTCATGCAAAAAATTAAAAAATTTCAACCTTGGCATAAATGGGCTAATGTGACTGACTATAAGATGAATATAGTGCCCAATAGATGTCAGTAGATCCAGCCCAGCCTGCAACCAGGCAAGATGGGGTAGTGGTGGATGGCATGGACTTTCAACCTAGCCTGAGCTTGGCTAAGTCACTTACCCTCTCTGTGCCTCAGTTTTCCCATCTGTAAAATGGGAATGGTAACAATAGCATCTATTTCCTAGTGTTGCGATGAAAACCAAAGGAATCAATAATCATAAAATACTCGGGGTGGTGTCTGGTATGCAGTATGTGATCAGCAATGTAGCCATTGTTTTTCCTCCTGCATCAGACATGCACCATCAGAACATCTCACACATGAGTGGGAAAACCCAATTATCTTGCTTATGAACTATAAAATGATCTACAATTGTCTTTATTGGGGAACACAGGGGGCCACTAGCTTCCCAGACCAGTCACCCTTGCCAAGGGCAGTGTAGAACTTGCCAAGGGGTAGGCCAACTTAACCCAAAATAACTTTATTGCTGTCTCCACTTCTGATATAAAAGCATCCTGGGAGCCCTAGTCTGGGACCTGGGAAGGGCAAACTCCACTGCAAGTCACTGTGTGGGGTCAGGATCCCATCAGCCCTTCTGCTCTGGGGGACAAGCTTGCACCCACCACAGCTGCCCATTCCCATCTCCTGCCAACCCTCTTGGATGAATCGCAGTGTGTACAAAAGTTTAAGCCTGAGATTGACCAGATATATTGACCACAGGGCCCCTCCCTGACCTTTGCTATGGGGTAGAGGGTGCGCACCACAGTGGCTTCTTGCTCTCATCAGGGAAAACTGAGTGTTGGAGTCCCCTGGGCTGGCACAGAGGCCGGGGAGGAGGCTAAGCTCGCCTGAGGTCACAGTGTAGCATTTTACTCTTCCTGAGTTGTAGGGTTTCACCTGGTCAGTTTCACCCTCCCAGTTCCAGAATCTTCCTCCTCTGGATGGGATGGGAGCTCCATACTCAACTATAGCAGCTGCAGTTGCACCTTTAGCCGCAAGGCCTGGACCTCTGGTCCTAGCCACCCCTCCAGCCGGGCACCCTGGGGCCATGCCATGCTCACCACTTCCAGCTGGTAAGTTCCAGGACTTGGCTTCTTATGCCCCAGCTGCAGGGAGCTGAGGCCATGGAGGTGACGCATGCGGAAGAAACCTTGCTTATTGCCATGGGTGATGATATAGCGGACCCGACCCCCAAAGCCCTCTAGTGCTGGTAACAACAGCAGGATGTGTTTGGCCTGGTCCAGGCTTGTGAGGTTCATGCCCAAGGTCAGCAGAGCCTCTGAGTCAAGGGTGGCCAAGCTCACCTGGAAAGAAAGACCAGGTGGGCAGTCAGAGCCAGGTGGCAAACCAGGATTTTACCTGGGATCAAAGAAGAGACTTGTGGGAATGGGGATGGGTAAATGGCTCACGCCTATCATCCCAGCACTTTGGGAGGTCAAGGCAAGAGGATCGCTTGAGGGTAGGAGTTCAAGATCAGCCTAGACAACATAGTGAGATCCCATCTGTACAAAAAACAGAAAAATTAGCCACTCATGGTGATATGTACCTATAGTCCCAGCTACTCAGGAGGGTGAGTGGGGAAGATTGATTGAGCCCAGGAATTTGAGGTCGCAGTGAGTTGTGATCACACCACAGCACGCTAGCCAGGGGGACAGAGTGAGACTGTCTCAGAAAAAAAAAAAAGAGAGAGAGACTTCATAATAAATCTCTAAGGAGGAGGAGGCCATTGAGTGCCCTCTGCTCTTGGCTTCTCATGTCTACCTTTCATCCACAAGGCCAGGGTTTAGCTTGGGCCAGGGTTTAGCAGCTTAAGGCTGAGGCTGGTTCTCAGGCAAAAACAAAGAGAGGCCACTTTTACACACGGTGAATCCAGCAGACCCCTAGTCTTGGCTGAGGGGTCTAGGCAGAAACC